AGACATCGGTACCTAATAGGCTGTAAGGTGGCAAAGCACGTGTGCACTACACCTACATGTGCATATGTGAACCGCACCATGTCTACACGTACGCGCTTGCGGGCTTTGAAATTGCTTACCAACACCACCCCGCTCGTCGTCGACCCATTTCCTTTCTTTGACGTTTCCTTGGCGCTCTCAGGTGGCTATGCCGGCAATCTTCTCATGTCGATCGACTGTACTGGCGGGAAGAAGCAGTGCAGTGTTAGAAATCCGAATCATGGCAGAACAAACGCAATGATGCCGCATGCCGATGGAAAGGCCGGAAACCGCCCCGCTGCATCGTGAGATTGCACAGCGATTTCAGGACCCGAGGTGTATCATGAAGCGACGGTACGAGTTGATTTTGAGCGCATCTGTGCATGGCCGACAGCCAGCACGTGGGCTCGCATTTGGGCCCCGGTCCCAGTGCCGTAGCCGGGGTGGGGCAGACCCGATGCAGATGAGGATGTGGATGTGTGATGCCGGCGGCTTGTGTCCTCAGCTCATACCAGTACGTGCGCAGGTGTAGGGATAGAATGGCGGTGCAGTGTCTGGTACACGGCCGCAGCGGACAGCAGAGTTACAGAAGGCATTACGTCAGCGGCCCCAGGCGTCTTGTTCGGGCTAGCACTCCCGCGGTTCGAGAACACGCGCGCCGTCGCCATGAACCATAGTTCACCTCGGCCCTTCATGTGGCTAGCCATGTTCCAGTAGGAGGCAATTCTCGCCGTTGCCCATGACCAGCTATTACTACTTCTCATCCTGGCCAACGGCCCTACTTGGTTGCCGCAGACGTCGCAGCTCCTAACACGCCCCCCGCCCTGACGCTCTGCTCTGCCCCCCACCTTCATCCCCCCCCGCTGCTGCCTACGCCCACCGCATCCCATCGCGAGCCATTCGTCCTCAAGCCGGTCTTTTCTCCCTCACGAGCGAGTCCTTGTGAAACTCACTGTCCTTACAAAAAATCTTATCCGTCGTTTTCTCTTCTCTGCTCCGCGCTCCCCCCTTTTCCTTCGCCAAGCCGTACCCAGACCCCCCATCCCTCACAACCCACCACGCAGCAATGACGACAGTCCGCGAAGAAACCGCAATGTCAGGCCTTTCCGACGGCCGTCTGCGCACCCAGCACGAGTACACGTACCGCCTGCCCACACCGCCTCGAATCGTCGTGCCTCCACCCACCCTCACCGCCGACATGCCGGGCCTGGCGCTCAGCGGCGGCCCTGGACAGGACTTGGACATGAGTTTTCTCAGCGAGCTCAACCTGGAAGATATTGTGCAGACGAACACGCTGCTGGAATGGGCGTACGAGCGGCGGAGACAAGCACAGATGATCTTGCCGTGGCTGTATCTGGGGCCCATGGTGGCCTCCAAGGACCATGCATTTCTCAAGCGCGAAGGCATCACCATGGTCATAGCGGTTCGTGCGAACCCCAAGAGCCTGACGGGTGCACTGCAGGCGGCTGCCAACGTGTGCCTTGAGGTGGGCAGCATCGAGGCCGCCAGCTTCTATGATCTCACCCCCAAGTTTCCCGAGGCCGCCAAGATGATCAATGCACACGTTGCAAGAGTCCGCCAACATGCCCTCGACACCACCGGCCAGGCCGCGCTCGGTAAAGTCCTCGTCTTCTGCGAGTCTGGCAACGAGAAGTCGGCGGCGGTCGTGGCCGCTTACCTAATGGACACTCTCAATGACTTTGATCACGTCAAGGCCATGCAAATCTGCCAGACACAACGCTTCTGTGTCAATTTTGACGATACTTTGAAGAATATTTTGCGCTCATACTGGGACATTGTGGGTGCACGCCGCGCCATCGCAGCCGCCCAGTACCAAGTATTGCATCAGAATGGCCCCAGCAACAACCACTCACAGCCTGGCTGGCTGCAATTACCGCCTTCCTCGTCCAAGCAGAAGCGAGGCCTGGAAGAAATGCAGGACAACGATGTTGACATGGACAATGCCATGGACGCCTCAGACGCCCTCCGCTTTGCCGATCGCGACGTGACACCATTCCAGGACCGCTAGCTAGTTCTGAGCTAGTTGGTCAGTCTCGACGTCTTTTCCTACCGGTGTCTTTTTTAGCATGATACCCAGCATGATACACGGCGTTTTGGTGATACTGTCACGTTCAAAGGTTAGATGGTTCCGAGGCAGAGCATCTTTTGCAACAAGAGCAGGCGTTCTGGAGGGCCTGTCTTGCAGGAAGCTCGCAGAGCATGTAGAGTAGCAGTAAGCTTGCCTTGTTTTGCTGATGTCTCTCAAAAATTAGTTGGGGCTCATATTTCAGCACTCTTTACCGATCCGTGATCGAATCTGCTTCACCAATCTGCTCGCTCCAATCGAACCATGTTGTATCTTGTTGTGGTCATGAGTGAAGCCACTGAGTGTATCGCCACTTCCAAGTGGTAGGTAAAAGCCCTCTCGCAATGCAATCGCTAACAGGCAAAGGAGATCTGACCTCATCTTGATCACGCCATGGTTCTCACAGCCCACTACGATCCATAGGCAGTCGCAGACCTTCACCTCAACTTTCCTAGGTTGTAACATCACACTAGCAGTTACCATGGAGCGTCCGAGTTTGTTGGGACCGTACAAGCAAGCTCTGATTTGTAGCTATCCATTACCCTCAACCGCTTTCGTTCGCGACCAATTGGAGACTATCCATAGCAAATCATAACTAACGCGGCAGAGCCTATCAAGCATGCCTTATTCCTTGCGGTCCGGAAACAAGCTGAAACGCCCTGCACGCTATAGGGACGAGAGCGATGACAAGGTCGACAGTTCAACACACCCAACTTCTGGAAACCGTGATACAGATAGCCAGTCCCAAAATGATTCACTTACTGATTCCATGGAATCGGCCTCAACTGCAAACAGCACTCCACCACCCTCTTCTTTCACTCCACCCGCCTTTTCTTTTACTCCACCGTCACCTCTCTTTACCCATCCCACTGTTGTAGCTCCTGCTGCAACGACAAATTCCAGCAATCTGTCCAATACCAGCCATCCTCCACCGTTACAGCATCCCAAGATGGCCAACACTAAGATTGTCAAGGCCAACCCGCGTCGCACCGACGAGCACCGCGAGACTGAACCCGATGACCCTCCGCCAGCCGGGAACCATACTAAAAATCCTAACAAAATCTCGCGGCGGAATCGTGCTCTTGCTCTTACGCCTAAGTTTGCTTTTCCAAAGCCCGCAGCATTCCCTTCACTGCCAACTGACGCGCCCCCGCCGTCACAGCCAGAGTCAGCTGCTACAGACCAGTCTTCGGTTCATAGCATGAAGGAGCTTTTTGAAGCCATTGAAAGCCAAGACCAAGCGCGCGTGGCAGCAATCAAGCAGTCCATTGATCGTATGTACCGAGAGAGCGAGAATGAATGGTATGCGGAACTGAGGAAGCGTTGGAGTCCGGATGAGGTAGAAGAGATAGTAAGTACTACCTGGACCAACTCCAAGCCCCATTCACTAAGCAACCAGGTCACGTTTGAATCGCTGTGGTATTCCGTGCGCAACACCATCATCGAAGAGATTCAAGCCGACTTTACCGATATATACCACGGCAGTCCCTTCTACCCCGCGCAGCGCATCTTGAATCTTGAAATGGAGAAGCTTGTTGCCATCATGAAGGAGAACATGGAAGTATGGACGACTGAAGACGAGATCCCAAAGTACTTTCAACAGTACAGACGCAGGCACCCAGACGCCATCATCGACCCGGATGAGCCGCCGCCTGCCGAAGTCGTCAGGGCCATCAGGTTCCTCCGGCAGCAGAGTCTTCCGGGGAGCTTGCTGGGCGAGTGGCACATATTGCCACCAGTTGAGGTATTCCGCCCCCCGGTCATGGCAGAGTATCCCAGCAAGGGACCTGCGACTGTTGGAAAGCAGTAATAGGGTCTTGGTGTGGTAACATGTGTTGTAGGCCTCTGCAGAGGTGACTAGTAGCTGCGTAAGTCAACCAATACATCCGAGTTTGTTGCAGCAGCCCACCCACCATGCCTCGTGTGTCGGTGAAGAACCCCCAGATGTGCTTTCGTTCGAGGAAGCTATGCAATTGGCCACAGAGGCAAAAGCTGCTGCTGCAACGCGCGCCTTCCAAAGACGCATGAAAGCTTATGCCAAAGCCTCTCGTATCCACTGCTACCGCTGCGGCCAGAACGACCACACGCAGCACGACGTTGGTCTCGATGGACTCAAAAAGGCATGTATATCACCATTAATTCCTGCGTCATCAATCCGCGTTAAGAAGGAAAGAAAAAAGTGAAAGAGAAAAGCTAAACTAACACTTGCTCCCCACGTCCACAGTGCCCCATCCGCCGCAAAGAAAGCCTCAAGTTACTCAAAGACCTTAACGCGCGACGCGCCCTCGCCACAACCGAAATCAACGCCTTTAAGAAAAAAGATGAAATGCAAGCTCACTCCAAACAGTCCCCCTCAACTACATCTTCAACTCCACAGGTGAATCCCAGCACCATCTTTCCGAACCCCTCTTCCTCATCCTCCTCTTCCCGCCTCACACTCCCATCGCAGCACCACCACAACCACAACCACCATCATCACCGTGCCAGCGCCGCAGCCCCCATGACGAAACAAGACTACATCGCGCACACGGAGAAAGAGAATGCGGGAAAACCCATCTGGACTGCGAATTACTTCGCGCTGTATACCGCCGTGCAGCACAACGACAATCTCGATGGGTTTGCCAACCAAGCGGCGAAAGAAAAGATGCTGAGTTTGCAGTCGGTTGCGAGTACGGCGGCGGCGGCGGCGGGTGCGAGACTGTATGTTGAGAGGCTGAAAGAGGCGCGGAGTGGCGGGAGGAATGGCGTCGGTAGTACTACGTCGAGTTCTGCATCAAGTTCTGTGATGGCGACGACGACGACGGGACACGCACAGGCACAGCAGGCGGGACACGCGGCGGATCGAAATGGTGCGAGGCGCGTTTCTTGGATGTGGCCGAATAATCAGCAGGTGGATAGCCAGATGGCTGCTGCCGCTGCTGCTGCTGCTGCGACGAGGAGGAATGGGTTGAATGGGCGGAGGGAAAGAGTAGGAAATGAGGCGAGGAGCGTTATGGTGGTGGATAGGACGAGGGATACGGGTGGTGATGGGGACGGAGTGAGGGAGGGTGGAGAGGGGGATGAAGTGTAGCGGGGGAAAGGGGGGGGGTGCGAAGTTATACATTCTTGATGCAGCTGTTGCTATTTCTATACGTTGTGAAGGGCGGAGGGAGTGCTTCTGGATGCACTTGTTGTCTGGTTACAGGGTGAGACGAGACTATTTTTCCTCAAAACCTTCACACGTACTCTAATATTATGTGTCTTCGTTTATGTATTCATTCTCGATCCAAAAGTGGGTATAAAGCGTCATCTCATCGTTTCCAGAGCATTCCTCTTCTTTAACTCCTTAGCTAAAGTGATCTCCATGCTCGCCATCCCCACCGATCCTTCTCCCGGCAATCCTTCCCTGACTCAACTTCCACCGCCACCGCCTTTCCTTCTCCTCCTTCTCCCGCTCTTCTCTTTGTTTCTTCTTGCGCTCATATACAGCCCTCACCGTGCGCTTGGTGCGCTCAGCGCCCTCGTTGAAGTTTGCGCGTGCAAGTTCAACGACGCTGTCGATTTGCTCGGGAGTATACACAAAATTCCAAGTCGACATGAAATCGCTGACTGTGGGGTCTACGCCTGGGACTTTGGGGTTGGCCAGGAAAGGAAAGTAGATGACGCTGATGCCAGAAGACGGGTGCATGAGCTCCCAGTCCTCCTCGACTTGCTTGCTTTCCGGGTGTTCCGAGTCAGATGTGCGTTCTTCGGTGGTGCCGACCCAGATATTGCAGTAGCCAAGGTCTTTACTCTTCTTGGAACCATCCTCCTCTTTAGCCTGTTCGAGTTTTTCTTGTGCCTGCTGTTCAGTCTTAGCTTGAGCGCGTTCAAGATCTCTTTCAAGGTCTTCCATGGATTCGTCAGCAGGTGGCCAGCCTGCGCCTACGGGCCATCCCTTGATGCCGCGCTGGCGGGCATATCCGTCGGCGACTTTGAGCCAGTTGTCGGTTCTTACATCGGCAGAGGCGTCAAAAGCGACGAGTATGTCTACATTGCGTCCTGGGCGAAGCAGAGGGTAAATGGGTAGGTTGTTAGACATGCCGGCATCCATGAATTGGAAGTTCTTCTGTTCGAAGATGCTTTCAGGGCAGGACGACGGAAGAAACTCGCGCATGCCGAGGGCGTAGTTGGGCATTGCAGCAGGGTCGATGGGATGGACTTTGACCAGATCATCGTCGCGCTCTGCAATCATGGCATCTATACTACTGCCCAAGCCTGTCAAACTACGCATGAGAGGACGGATTTCGCGGTAGTAGTGTGATAGTGTTGCGCAGAAAGCAGAGCCCCAGATGCCCATGAGTAAAGGAACGCGTACTTCGGGCAATGCCAAGCCATTGTCTCGCCAGACTGTTCGGCCATTTTGAAAACGGCGACCCATTGCCCACGTGGGTATGCCGGCTGAGAGCTCCTCGCACCACATCTCGTACGGGGTAAACTCGAACCATTGGAACCAGGCTTCTTTTCTCGCCTTCTCCTCTGCTGCGACAGGATCACTGGTATCTGACTGTTCGGCGAGAGGGATCTCATGTCGTACGGCCGTGTAGATTGGGAGCGGATGTGAGCCGTTGTCGGTGTACCGTCGCTGGTTTGAGATCTTGAAGTCGTACTCGCTGACAGACAGCTCGCCCTTGGGTACGAGCAGGCGAGCTGCAAGTAAGGCGCCGTAAATGTCTACCAGCCCAAAATCGGCATCTGGGATGCCCTTTGCCTTTTCCACCATCCCGCTCAAAAGGTACTTGTTCGTCGGAGCGCTGACAAGCAGTTCTAGGGCGTCGGGTGGGAAGGCAATGTGCACGCCGAGCCTGTTTTTGAGGTGCCGAATGATACGAGCGTGACTGCGTTGGCTAAGTTCCGAGTAGTAGAGAGTCTGGAGCCAGCAGCTTCCACTGACTCCTGCTGTGTATGTGACACAGTCAAAGAGGCCGGCTTCCTTGGTGGAGAGGTATGACGACGTTCCCGCAACGAGAGCACGCAGTCCGCCTCCAGAACCACACATGGCGATGACAGGGACATCGTCAGGGTGTATTGTGGCTTCGGGAATATCAAGGTAGCGTGCTAGTGCAGCCTTGGTGAAGTGTGCGCGCTTCTCCAAAAAGACCTTCTCTTCGTCGCACAGCTCGTTCGAAACTCTTACAGAAGCATCCCAGGTAATCTCGGGGTTGATTTCGGGGTCGTTGGCCTCGCGCCATAGCTCTTCGGCCAATGATCCCGGCGCCATGGAGAGCTCGTTCTGCAGCTTTCGGATAAAGCCGGGTAGGACCTTGACCCAGTTGGGCACAATGTAGTCGATGATGGTGTCACCGATCTTGGAGGGCGACGGCGACTTTGGAAATTTGTCTGTGATAGTCTGCCATGCGGATTGGTTCTCTCCGCCTTGCTTTTCCTCGCCGCTGTAGCCCTTTGCAACACGAGTCTGGGGTGGTGCATCTTGCTCGCCTGGCTTGCCCTGATCCTCTTCATTTATCTGCCTTTCTGCATCGCCGACGGACGTACGCTCTGTCTTTGTATCATCTCCTCCACCACTGCCACTGAAGATGTATCGCTTCAGTAAAGGTGCGTCGAGGCGGATGGGGCGGAACAGCGGGTATGGAGAGTGGTCAGACGAAAGGAAGCCGGCAGCGGCGGTCGCAAGCAGAAAAGGGGGGCCATAGCGAAGACCGAGAATGGCCGCCTTGGACCTGTTGGATAGCGGGGGCTTGGTGTGCAAGCTGTACAGTTAGAATACGAGTGGAGGCGGGGGGTTCAGGTCCAAATTAACTCACCCACGACGCGTCCCGCGCAGCCACTGCTGGCCCAGATTGCGCGTGTTCCTATAGCCAGCCATGCGCAAGGGTGGTGGGGAGAGGTCAATGGTGTTGCAGGCGGGAAGCCATGACACCCGTAACACGTGAAAAGCCCACGCACTCTGGATGGGGTGATGCCATCAATATGACGAGTCGTGCATGCCAAAATCCCACCACAAAACTGGTTGCGCATGACGCCGATCGAATCATGGCCCGCATGGCGTATGCCAAGACATGCAGGAACATGCACGACACCAAGCCACCTTGGTCTAGACCCCGCTGCACGTGACAATGCACGACTGCACACTCTCTCACCAACTAGACACCAACATTGTAAACTTGACATTGATTCCGAGTACGTGCATCCACTACAAAATTCTCTCACTTATACGATGACAGCCATGATGTATTTTACTCGCACCAGGCACACCGCATTCGGCGGAGACGCATCTATCGTCTCTCACCACCTAGTCGCAGCTTTACTTTGCTATATATCTCCCACCTCATAAACTGCTTGATACTCTTATCCTTCCTCACTACTTCCCGCTTCTGCTACTCTATTCTCTCAACTTCTTCTGTAGTCAAATCCTTAGGCTATTGAGAAGACTATCTTTCATTTCTACCCTTGGACGACAAGATGTCTAAGAGCTCGACCACCTATCGCAATATGATACCATCCAAGAAACGGCTCTTCACCAACATCCATAATAAGGCTATCGAACAAGAACTATCAAAAGAGCCCTGGTACGCCCTGAAGCCAGAGGAGATTGTTGTCCAAGTTGAAGACATGTGCGACAACCTCGCAGCTTCACTTGCCAAGTACGCACCCATCGATCAACGATATCAGGAAGCGGTCGATGCTGCAAACGCGAAAAGAAAGTTACCCGAGATCACGCAATTCAACGTAGCAGTAGTCGGAGAACAGGGTATCGGCAAGAGCAGTGTCATCAACGCCTTGCTCGATCGAGGGCTGTTGGATCGATCTGGCTCTTCCAGGGCGTGTACTGCGTATGCAACCATTCTTGAATACAAGAAAGGTGCGCCTGATGAGACCGACCTGAGCGACGTAAGCGTCCAATTTTTTTCTGAAACAGAGGTTCGACATTGCATCAACGAACAGGTTGATCGTTGGATCGAAGTACATCCCGGCCCCCAAGAGGCTGGTTGGTCTTCGCTTTGCCAAGACGACGATGACGAAGACTTCGATCAAGACAACTCAGGCGAAGACACCACATTCCATTCGCGAACAAGAGATATCTCGGAAGAGGCCTCTCGAGCCGCTGACACTGCCGAAGAGTTCTTCCAAATCATCTTCAATGTTCAAGAACATGTCGAATGCGGAGAGTGGCTGAAAAACGAGCTTTATCATACTAATATCAATGAACGGGGGTTTTCCGCTCTCTGTTTTGATGCGGCAAGACGAATGTTTCAGGATATGGCGAGGAAGAAGCAAGAAGTAAGTCTTGAGAGAAGGAAAGCTCATTTCACAAACGTTCCGGACAAAACACTTTGGGAACAAACCGCTGCCATCAAGAGGCTATGGCCGTTCGTGAAGGCTGTCACAATTGCGACTGGGCATATACTCCTGCGCAATGGTCTGCGTCTCTTCGATATTCCAGGTGAGTCGCTGAATTTATCTGCAATACCGCAAGGCAAACAAATCAGGGTATGGCGATACGAGCCAGCTTCGCGAAGCAGTCATCAACCACTTCCGGCGGCACGCCGACTTTGAAATGATAATCGCCCCATTCTCGCGCGTACAGACCAGTGTCTTGCAGGAGCGATACATCAATCTGTCAGTTCACCTAAAAGGTGCTGAAAAAACCATACTGGTAATGAACAAGTCTGATGTAAGTCCTCTTTACCAAATCTAAGTGCGTCATTGACCAGCTCAGACACTCATCAATGAGGACAACATTGTTACGCTAATTCGCCACATTAAAGCGGATCCATTTCCGTCGATTTACGCTCGCTTGGTATCGCTTGAAATCCAACAGGAACAGGGTACCTTGGATCCAATCTCTATTTTAAATTATATGGATCAATTACTTGATGAAGCCACTATCGCATACACCAAATACGAAACAGAAAGTGTTCAGAAGAAGATGCAGTCGAAAGGTGTCAAGGTTTTCTCGGTTTCTGCACTGTCATATACAACATCTCGGAATGCCCTTAGGAAAGGGAACGGAGTGCTTGACCAAAAGACAGCAGGTATTCCAGAATTGAGAGTATTTTTGGCGAAGCTACCAGGCACATCTAACTATAAGAATTACCACGATCATGTCTTCGAAATATTGCCAGATTTGCGAAACGAAGCTGCACGACCGTTGGAGACGCATCCGGAAGACGCTACGTATGCAGCAATGCGAAGCGAGCTCGTGCTACAAATCCCAAAAGTCCAATTTGAGCTTGAAAGCGTAGTACAACGTGGGTTGGATGATTCTACGGAGAGGCCTTGGGCTGATAACGAAGCGCAAGACATCGCCAAGCACATGGAAGAGTGGATCAAGAAGATGTGGGTGCATCCACTCATCTATCATTCAGGGTTTGCAAAGATGCTCCGCGAGAATGGCATTCCTGTGAACGGCAAGTATTATGGTCATAACCTCAACCGCGATCTCCTCCGCGCCATGAAGAAATATTACCATAGGTGGTACAACAACATGTCGCCTAAAACCAGCAACTTCGCACAGGCCATGTCCACGTCAGTCCAAAATCGCTTGCACAAGACACTGTCAGCGATCAACCGCTCTTCTTCACGTGGAGGACTCAAGAAGAAAGCTTCTGAAGAGCTTTCACGCGTTCGACAGCGCATCAAAAAGGCCTATGATACTCTGGTCGCGAGTCTGCATTCTTCCCTTGCCGAGACTCGTCTACGCTTCGCAACCGAGATTGACATCAAATGCCCTATCGCAATGGCAATGAAGGCATGGTACGAGCGGGCACTGGATCCTGGGATAGTCTGTTCTGGCAACGGAACATATCGCAGGCGACGCAACGTCCTGTGCGCATCCATCACCAATCCAGTCGGCACCGATCCTCAGCCCCTTCTCGAAAAGATGGGAAAGCAGATTCAGACGAAGCTGCGAGAGCGCTGGAAGATGGACTACAATGCTTTCATCTCCGAAGCCATGAAACTCCTCAACGGCTTCTCGCGTACTACTGAGCAACTCCTTAGGAACCCGCAGTACATGACTTTCAGGCACAAACAGGCCCGAACTCAGCTGAAGAAGCTACTGGCCGACTTTGATATCAGGCTGAAGCACATTCAGAACCGCTTCATGAAGACAGAGGAGGAGCATGCTGTAAAGAAGAGCAAGTGAAAAGGGGTTGTAATTTGAGTCTTGACATTTTTGGGGTTGATGTTCTTTTAGTTGGGTCCTGGCGGCCTGCTCAATCACGGCTGACACGAGGCAAGCAGAAGCATCCCTTGCATCAGCCCATCTCTTATCTGTGTTCTGGGCACTGCCATTTTCTTCGCTTCCTGACACCTGAGGCTGGGTTTCGACGGGTGGCTCTGCAACCAAAGCCGCAGATAGGGGATGCTTTTGAGGGTCCACACTTGACACGACGGATCTAAAAGTTACTCCGGCCTATATTTACGGGTAATCGGATACATGCAGAATAGTACATACATATATTTGCACAAATCATTACACCGAGCCCGAGTCATCTAACGGTGCTTGGCATGGAGATAGCTACGCGTCGCCGAGACGTGCATAAGACGTTGAACAACGGCGTGGGTGGTGTCAGGCAACGGCTGTCAGTGGTGCCGATACTGCCTGGACGCGTCCGTTGCCTTTGCCATGCACTTTGTGAGGCATCTTTTTGGAATGAAGTGCTGAAACGGGGTGGGCAGGACAGTGGCAGGGCGCGCGTGTTAGCCTTGTGCATACATAGTGTGGCACTAGTTATGTGTTTCTTGGACTAAGGGCAGATCATGGCGGCCGGGGCCCTGGTCCGCCAGGCCAACGTCTCCACGGCGCCTCTCCGCAGGCATCCCCTCACGTCCAGTCAGACGCTGACCCCATACATAGACTTCCGCTATTGGAAATTCTGGCTTTCATCGTCTCTTCATGTTGCGCTTCATGTTCGCTTCATTTTTACTCTCCGCTTTCCTATAATCGAGGTCGCCCTCGCCGCCGCCGCTGCCAGAGTGCCCAAGTAGACACCCCCCCTCCCCCGAAACCGTCGCCGAAGCAGTCGCGAATCTATCTCCCAGTCAGTCGCCATGGTCGGTCCCCGCAGGACCGCGCTCCTGGAGGAGAGCGCCGAAGTCGAGGTGCTCTTCGCCAATATGGAGAAGATGAAGGCAATCACCAAGAAGATCCAAGGGTCCGTCAATCGCTTGGATGCGAGTGGAAGAGCTGTCCAGGAAGCCATTGGGCCAATCTACGGCAACACGCAGAAGCTCCAGATTGCAAACACCAACGTCGATCGCATCATCGACGCCATAGAGCGGCTTCGCGCCCCCAAGGAAGAGAGTGCCAAGGAGGAGAGGATCATTCGTGCCGGCCCTGGACGTGGAGACCTCGACAGCTACATTGCTTCGCTCGACCGCACCAACCTCAGCCTGCTCGACCTCAGGCGCACTAATCTGCGGTCGAACGAACAAGCTATTGCAGATCTGGTGGGGCTTCTCAAGCTAGGCAACAAACAACTGGAGGAAGTGTTTCGAGGCATTCTGCAGGAAAGCTGTAGGGACAAGGTGCAGGCATTGGAATATGTCGCTAAGCGTAGGTTGGCTGCATGTTGTAGGCGGACAGGCTCTGACATTGTACAGAAAACCCGTTCCCGCGCATGGCGCAGGACAAGCTCCAGAGCCTGCGCAGCATCCATAACCATATCTCCAAGACATTTGCGCAAACATCACAGGTCGACCTGTCACAGACGCCTACGCGAAGAATATACGCCGACGTTCGGGGCGAATATCTGGAAACTACATTGAGGAGCTTGATGCAAGCGTCCATTAGCATGGCGCGCAAAGTGCAGGCCGATGCGCTCTACAAAAAGGGGACCAACGGCATTGGGACATATGTGCAGGCGATAGAGGGGCTTTTTGTAGCCGAGTTCGACAACCTCAGCTACGTCTATGACAGGGAGGAATGGAGCGACGTCTATGTGTCGACGTGCCAGGTCTCTCTGCAGGACTTTAGTAAAACGCTACGCGAGCTCAACGGCCATGTGCAGAAGAACATCTTGACAGACTGCTTCCTGGGGTTTGAGATTTGTGGGCTGGTGCGGGCACTGTCGATGCGGCTGCAGAAGCAGACGGGCGCGCTCAAGGATCAGATCTACGATAGCGTGAAGCCGATTCGCGAAACATCAAAAATGTCCTTGGGCAAGATGCTCGAGGACACGCGGTCAAGTACACAGGGGCTCATTGCGCTGCCTATTGACGGCGGGGCGGTAGAAATCACGACGCAGACGATGCGACGGCTGCAGGAGATGACAAACTACCTGGAGCCTCTTGGGTCCATCCTGGCGTCGTTGGGCGAGGGCGGATGGAACTCGAACTCGGCCAACAACTCGACAACGACACTGGACGTGGGGCCTGACGGCATGAAGCTGTTTGCATCATATGCAAGCGACACGGTGGATACTCTGCTACAGAACCTGAGCGGCAAGGCGAAGCTCCTCCTCAAAGGCAAGAACCTGCAGGGCGTCTTCATGGCGAACAACGTGGCCATTGTCACGCGCATCATTCGCTCGTCGGAGCTGGGGCCGCTGATGGAGGGCTACTCCAAGAAACTGGCCGACTGGCGCAAGCAGGGCACGGCCATGTATCTCGAGGCGTGGCGAGAGCCGTCTGGGTACCTGCTGGACGTGCAGTACACGAACCGCAGCAAGGAGCGGCCCACGTCGAGCGGCAATGACTCGGCGGCCATTGTCAAGTCGCTGAGCTCCAAGGACAAGGACACCATCAAGGAGAAGTTCAAGAGCTTCAACACGAGCTTCGAGGACCTGGTGGCACGCAACAAGACGTACGCCATGGAGCCCGAGGTGCGCAACCAGCTGTCCAAGGAGGTGCAGAACATCATCGAGCCCTTGTACAACCGGTTCTACGACCGGTATCGGGAGATCGACAAGGGCAAGGGCAAGTATGTCAAGTACGACAAGACGGAGCTGAACCGGTCGCTGGCGAGCTTCTCATGATGGCGGGCGGATGAGCGGCGTTGGACTGGACTGGACTATACTTTGATTGCTTTGGAGACGCGTACAATACCCAATGATTTGCGTAGATAAGGAGAAGACGAGGAAGAAGAACAGGGAGGGGGAGGAGGAGGAGAAGAAGAAGACATGTGGCGTGGTAATGGACAGGTAGCTGGGGATGGTGATAGGGCGGCGAGGCGAGTCGCGGCCAGGCCCCGCCGTGTAATGTGTATTGGATTGGGGCCGATGCTCGTGCCTCCTCATTTTACGGTGCCGGCACGTGACGCAGCCCTTTCCGGGAGATGAGGCTTCGCGACGACGTCTTGCAGCCGGCACACACGAGCACAAAAGGCTGCATGCCGGCGAATCGTGTCGTGTCCTTCACCCTTCTTTCTCGCCCGCCCGCTCGCTCGCCCTCCTCCTGCGCGTGTCCATTGCTCGCTCGTTGACGCCGTGTCTCTGCGGGCGCCCCTGTGTTTTCTTTGTTTGTTTGTTTCCTTTCCTCTGCCTCCCTTCGCTTCTCGCGCAGCCAAGGCCCGGCCGGCACTCACTCTCAGGCTGCGGGTGGTGACGCGGGGATTTTTTGGTCTAGTGCACATTGCTTTGGCGTTGCTCCAATCGCGCGCATCCCTGTGCGGACCCCTTTCCTCCACCCAGCGAGCGACGGCCACCACGACTTCCCTTCCCAACGTCGCAGCCTCCGCACTCCACGCCTTTTTTCTTCGCAGCCTACTGCACCTTTTTCAATTCATTGCTTTGAGTGCATCTTCCACTCGACAGCATCCCTACCGCCAACTGGTAAGTCGCCCTTGTCTGCTCGTCTGTCGCCTCACCGGATTTCTCCACGCCTTGCCCTTGCCCTGGCCGCCTGGCCTGACCTGGTCCGCGTTGGCACTTTTGTTGGCCAGCGAGACACGCCTGGCCACCAACACTCTCGTGCACTCTGGCCGTTGACATTGTCCCATCTGCAGGAGTCCCTCACTTGACAGCTCATTGCCCGTGTCTCTTGCTCTATTTACACCATGGGTACGTAGCTGCCCCCCTCGCAGAGCATGCCGCCCGCCCACGCCCATCAACACTGGGCTCCTGTCCCCCGACAGCCGGCTCCCCCCGTTGGCACCTGGACACGCACCGCACCCGCTCGACGCACACGACGCAGCCCGCTTGCACAATGCTCGTTTTCCGCGCCGCCTGCGCCTGCCGCTGCCATGGCTACGCCCTGCTCTCTCTCTCTCTCTCTCTCTCTCTCTTGACAGCGTTGCTTTTGTGGTTCCCCTGGCTGATGATTTGACGCAGAATCCACCGGTGCTACTTCCCCTGCGCCGCCCACGCGTGCCTCGCCATCGCCTCCGGCTTCTTCGAGCGGCTTCGCCATGGACCAGACACTCAACGGCTCCAACCAGGCGGTTCAGACCATCACGGCCAAGAACCCCAAGGCCGCCGCTGCCATGGCCAACGACATGAACATTGTCCGCAGGAAGCTGACGGGCTACGTCGGCTTCGCAAACCTGCCCAACCAGTGGCACCGCAAGAGTGTGCGCAAGGGCTTCAACTTCAACGTTATGGTTGTTGGTACGTGAGCTGTCAAGCCGTGCGCTGTCAAACGGAGCTAACGCGTCAACCAGGCGAGTCTGGACTCGGAAAGTCGACGCTTGTAAACACGCTCTTCAACACATCGCTGTACCCTCCCAAGGAACGCAAGCCCCCGAGCCTGGACATTTCCAAGACGGTCTCGATCCAGTCCATCAGCGCTGACATTGAGGAGAACGGCGTCCGCCTGAGGTTAACGGTCGTCGACACGCCCGGCTTTGGCGACTTCATCAACAACGATGAGTCGTGGGACCCGATTGTCAAGAACATTGAGCAGCGGTTCGATGCCTACCTGGACGCCGAGAACAAGGTGAACCGCATGAACATTGTTGACAACCGCATTCATGCCGTGGTCTACTTCATCCAGCCCACGGGCCACTCGCTGAAGCCTATTGACATTGAGGTGATGAAGAAGCTGCACACCAAGGTTAACCTGATTCCCGTCATTGCCAAGGCCGACACGGTTACGGACGATGAAATCGACAACTACAAGAAGAGGGTACGTGAGAGGATCTTTGTCTTTTCTTTTTGCTAGCACGCCTAGAAAAAAATATACTAACGCGCACGCCAGATTCTTGCCGATATTGCCTACCACAAGATCCAGATCTTCGAAGGCCCACGGTACGAGCTTGACGACGAGGAGACCATTGCCGAGAACCAGGAGATCATGGCCAAGGTTCCCTTTGCCGTTGTCGGCTCCAACACGGAGGTTACGACTGTGGACGGCCGCAAGGTCCGCGGTCGTGTGCTCCCGTGGGGTGTGGTCGAGGTTGACAACGAGGAGCACTGCGACTTTGTCAAGCTCCGACAGATGCTCATCCGCACCCACATGGAGGAGCTCAAGGAGAACACGAACAACGTGCTGTACGAGAACTACCGCTCGGAAAAGCTGGCGCAGATGGGCATCCAGCAAGACTCGAGCGTGTTCAAGGAGGTCAACCCTGCTGTCAAGCAAGAGGAGGAGCGCTCGCTGCACGAGGCCAAGCTCCAGAAGATGGAGATGGAGATGAAGATGGTGTTCCAGCAGAAGGTGCAGGAGAAGGAGAGCAAACTGCGCCAGAGCGAAGAAGAGCTGTACGCGCGCCACAAGGAGATGAAGGACCAACTCGACCGACAACGACAGGAGCTCGAGGAGAAGAAGGCGCGCATCGAGTCTGGCCGGCCGATCGAAGAAAAGGGCAAGCGAAAGGGATTCTCGCTCCGCTAAGAGGGCGCCCTGCTGGTGCTCGGATCGTTCGCCCCTCCCGCGCTCTGGACGCATCACGCCCCATCCCCCCAGCTCTTCTCCCTTCTCTACACCACGTTACCAACCCAAACCTTGTTTAATATAATGCGGCCGACGATACCACTGGGTGCTATCGGTAAATGGGATAATGCACACAAGCGGTGCGACATTTGGAACCGAGCATGCCAGTGTCACGTCTTGGTGCAGTTTGTCCGGATTGTTGATTGATACCAACGTCTTTGCGCTCCTTCCGATTCCCTTGCTTCTTTTTTCGGCATTTTCTATTATTTAGTATTCGGCAGATGTAGTTCGGAGCGAGGAGTGTCGGACGGTTTCTTTTCATGTAGTCTACACACCATCACACTAGGCAATTTCATTTGTGGGTATAAAAAAACCAGCGCGGCTTGCACATGGCGGGTGATGTTTGGTGTGAGGTTTGTGCAAAGCATGTGATAGCGGCGGTGACAGTGACGACACACGCGGACATGGCAGCCGGGCGCGACGCATCGGGCGTGACAGGCGTTGCTGCTGCTGCTGCTGCTGCTGGCGGCTGAGGGGATCGTCAGGGTGTCGGCGCCGGTCGGGCCGAGTGGTGGCTTGTGCTTGCCCACCTGCACCACCCAGAATTGCTGTTGCCATGTCGTCACCCCCTCGCCCAAAACGCCCACAATTCTGCCTGACTGCCCACTCTTCCTCGCCTTTCTCCAGCTGCATTCCCACTCCCGTCCCCCATCCCCCATCCTCCATTACTCTGCGCACATATAGTCTGCAGCAAATAAACATCCACACACACACACGCCCCGACTCGTGCTGAGCCGTCGGTCCCATTATCTGTATCGGTAAGTCGACCCCGCCAGTCAGCCACGGACGATATCATGAGCGGGTCCCGACAGCCCGGCAGAACCAGCACTTCCCATCATAACCCAGCCACCGTTCTGGACACCTTGCACCTGCACTCTTCCGCTGTTGCTGCTTGTTCTCGTCAGCATTCCAGCTCGCTTTTTGCCGAGACTACTACACGCTGCAACGCTTTCCTGACCACTTTGTCGCTGACGCCTCATTACGTAGCTCACACCAACAGCTGCTGCCACAGCCCCCCAACTACCGACCATGGCCCCTCCACCGCCAGCCTCGATGCCTTTGGGCCAGCGCCTTGCTGCCCTTGCGCAAACTCTGCAGTTTGCCTGGTTCGCCGGCCATGTCACGCTGCTGCTCTCTACGCTGCGCTACGGCTTGTCGTACATTACCTTTAGCTATTACTCGCGATGGGCCTCGTTCTCGTACCGCACTGCCTTCCTGTCGGCCTGCGTCACGTACGGCATTGTCGTCTACAAGGCATACCGCGCCCGCATGAGGGCAGGAAAGCAGACTGGTGTCGTTGCGCTGGCCACGGATGAGAATGTACAGTACTTGAGTGAGTTGCCCGCCGTCCTCTTTGTCGCTAGCCAGCACGTGCTAATCAAGCCCCCCCCCCCAGTCATGGCCCTGACCTGGCTCTTCTCCCGCCAGATCCCTCTTGCTATCCTTCCCTTCTCCGTCTACTCCGTCTTCCACGTCGCTACCTATGTGCGCTCCAACCTGCTGCCCACGATCCAGCCCCCGCCCGCCGCTCAGTCTGGCGCCAAGCCCCCGGCATCGGCCGCCTCTGAAGCCATTGGCAAGTTTGTCAAGGAATATTATGATGGTTCCATGACGCTGGTTGCCACGCTCGAGATCTTCCTCTGGTTCCGCGTCTTTGGCTCTGCGCTCCTCTTCCAGAAGGGCTCTTGGATCCTGCTCGCAGTCTACACCGTCTTTTTCCGCGCTCGTGTTGCGCAGAGCAGCTTTGTCCAGGACGCTATTAACCAGCTCACGGCTCGTATTGATGCTCAGCTTGCCAACCAGAGTACTCCTCCTGCTGCCAAGCAAGGTTGGGCTACCTTCAAGACTGTTGTTCGCCAGGCTGCCGATGCCACCGACATTCGCAGGTACGTTGGCGGCCAGCCCGGTGCGGCTCCCAAGAAGGCCCAGTAAGCGTTTTGGTGATACCCACGACTTGCCTTGCCTCCAATCATGCTCGACAAGCTACATGTTGGAGGACTTTTTGGCATGAATCCGGACGATGATACGGCAGTCATGATGACGATAGACGTGTTTTGACTCGCATGAAGCGAGGTAAGGAAATAAAAAGTGTTTGAGCCGGAATTTTGGTCATGCGATATCCCGTGTGCGAAGGCCGATGCAGCTTGGCAGGTGGATGTGTCGAAGATGTGATGATGTTGACCAAGACGAGTCGTCTGCTTGTAATTCGTGGAGGGAGTGTTTGTGGTTATGGGTTAATGGCTATTTACAATGAATACGATACACTATCCTTGATGAATGCATTCGTGTGTATTGTAGGAGCGGTGTGTATGATGAGTGATGTTTTTGTCTTGTATCTGTTGCATATTATATTCAGACTTGGTACTTGTATGTTTGGATAGTCTTGCAATGATTCTTCTTCTTCTTCTTCTTCTTCTTCTTCTTGTATGCTATGTCATTCTTGGATCTCGTTTCTTTTGTTGTTTCCTCCTCTCTTTCTCTCTTTCTTTCCTTCCTTCTTTCTTTCTCTATTTCGTCTTTGATATATGTAGTAAGTAGGTAACTAAGTCTCTTCCCGTGATGCTTGTAGTGATACTTTACTGTCTATCTATCTATCTATTTATTCATCTAGGTATTCTTCCATGCATCCATTCATTCACTCTTCTTCATTTCTTAGTATGTATGTATGTACATGGTTGTGTTGTGTACGCGTAAAGTCATATCCATATATACATGTATATATGAATGTATAGATGTATTTATTGGCTTTTTTTTTCAGTTTGCAGTAAGTGGTGTGGATGTAGTAATGTCTTGTATGTAGTATACGTAGTGGTATACGAGCTCGTGTCGAGAATACACGATTAGAAACTAGTGAGATGGGTATTGCACTGTCCCTGTGCTCTCTTTGCTGTATTTGTATGGACATGGATGGTTATATATATATATCTGTGTGTGGTTGTGCAGCGAAGAAAGTGATGGGTGGAAGGGAATAAATAAAAGAGGTGCCAGGAGGGGAAGAGCCAAGGGAGATATGGTTCTGTATGCCAGCCACTTATACGTAATCTCGGATATATCTACCATGCTGCTTTTGATCTGCTCTTGACTCTGGGACCATGGTATATCTGTATGACTGTGTATGGATCGATCGAGTCCAAGCTTAATCTCAACTGTAAACTCTAGAGCAAAAACCAAAAAAAAACGAAACAATGCACTAATGTATTGGTTAATGTCATGTACTCGCACCAAGCAAGTCCTAGTCTGTGTACGTATATGTAAATATCTGTAAGTAGATATATTTTCCTAGCCTGTGCCTACGCTCAAGACTCGGTATCCTATTCTGCATATGCATTTGTCTATACATACATACATACATACATACACACACACACATATATATATATATATATACATTTCCAAGACCAGAAAACAAGACCTAAACAGCTTTTGAAAAGAAAACAGAAAAAGAAACAGGGCGGGAAAATTTATATCTTGCCAAGAACACAATCTCTTCCTCCCTCCCTCCTTTTTCCTTTCTTTCTTTTCCTTTTTGCTTTTTTTTTATCTCGGCTTCGCTTCGCTTCGCTTCGGTACTATATATATATATATATATACATGTATGTCTGTATGTATGTTTTAGAGTTAATTACATATATACGTAATCTAATGTAATATATTTCCTGCATTGCATTGCATTGCATGTATGTATGTATGTACATGCACCTCGCCCAGTTCACGCAAGTCCGGTAATCGGTAGGTCAGTCGGTAAGTCGGTAAGTAAGTCGGTAGGAAAAAGACACGAACAGACGGACGGGCGGACAGATAGACAGACAGAGAGAGAGAGAGAGAGAGAGAGAGAGAGAGAGAGAGAGAGAGAAAAGTCGGGTACGGCATCCCACGTGCATACACGGGAAACACGGGAAACACGGGAAATACTGGGAACCGAAGAAGAAAAAAAGGAATATGTACAAGTATGTGCGCTAGTGGGTGTGTGTGCCGAACCGAAGATTTGCAGTTTATGTCGGAATCGGGATTTCCGAGGGAGGAAGAGGAAGAGGGGAGACATCGGGTGTGTGTGTGTGTGTGTGTGTGTGTATGTGGGGGTATGAATATCTGCAACTGAGTATGAGTATTATCCCCCTCACAACTTTCCCATTTTTTTCTCCCCTTCGGCGTCGTATGGAGACGGGACTGGAAGATTTGCTGCAAGACTGATATTTCCTCAATCAATACAAAGTTGCAGTTTTCAAATACACACAGCACATGTATGTCTACAACCATGTATAGACGCCTCCATCTGTGTGCATCAAGTGCTCAAAGCGGGAAATGGGCATGTATTCTTTCGAGCCAAGTATTTATACATCCAAGTACGTAAAGGATATTGATTGAATCGGTGTTGCACGGAGAAAGCAGGAGAAATGAAAAACAAAAAAGACAAGTGCCACGTGAGCGCGTTGAAATAGTATGTATTTTGCTTTTTTGCTTTTTCTCTTTGCATCGAATGTCCCAAAGTAGACGTGCCGCGGTACCACGACAAGTGTTAGCCGAAAAAAAAAACCAAGAAAAGCGTCAGTCAGGGTCCTCTGCAAGGGTCGTGTTGTTTGTTGGTGCAATAAGGTTTATTTGGGAGCTTGATAGTATGGTACTTGGCGTAGATAGTCTAGGCGAATAAAGGGGTCTTGTCTTGTTGTGAGTAAGGGAGGCTCAGCTGCGTGGTGATTAGTGTTAGCAAAGGGAGAATTTGCAATGGAACGTGGTGCAGGGCGCTTGATCGGACCAATGATAGCGGGGCGGTGTTGGCACGACGAGGAGGCAAGGGCTCTAGACCCCATCAAGAGTGGAAAGCTAGAGGAGTCTGTGGTGAGCCAGAAGGGCGGAGATAAGCGTGGAAAGGTCGGGCCAGATGATGACGCTCGCAAACACGTGTTCGTGCGCTCGATGTGGCGTTTGGTAGTTGGTAGCGGCTCTTCTCACACCGCTGGGTTGCAGTAAAGGTAAGGGTACGTAGCCGTCCAACACATGGCACGTGAAACATGGTCGTCTGTACAGCGTGCTAGGTGCAGAGTAAAGATCTTCTAGTGTCCCTTGTTGTGTAAGATGACGTCTCGCGAGCAGAGTTGTCTGGGTGCACACATTAAAGTTTCCGAGACTGATTGACAACAACTAAGAGCAAGTGCCAAAAAAAAACAGTGAGGCGGCTGTGTGGTACGGGCCGCGGAGTCAGGCAGCTGAGTCTAGGGCGCAAAGGCTATTGTGCCCTCTCTGTGCGTAGCCTTGTCAGACAGTTTGGTTGACGAATGACAAGAGTACCGTGACGACAGGGCAAACGACATGACGATGCTTCTGTGCCCGTGAGTGATTTTCTGTCCAAGTACGGCAGAAGGTGGCTGCGTGCACCAAGCTAGGACAATGTACAGCAAGCGCAGCTCGTAAAAGAAGAGGCGATCCACCGGAGCAGGAACAGCATCAAGAAGCCGATGGTGCTATGTATGGAATTCTGTTGTCTGTGTCTGTGTCGAGTTTTTTTTTGGGCTGCTCTGTGCGTCAAGTATTGGAAAGCTCCACAGGCCCCGTAGCACTAGCGGACAAAATAAAGCGCCATATATGGGTATACGAGGACGTGAAACCAAGATACAGGCCGCGGGATCCGAGCGCTCGGAGGGCAAGGCAGCAGAAGGCGGACTCGGCAGAAGATGAATTTAGATGTGGCCGTCTTGACCGATAGGTGAACAAGGTTTCGAGAGTGCTGCGCCCCAGAGCTTGGATGTGGGGTTCAGCGGCGGGTTTGGTGTGCAATGGGGGCGCGCCCCCCTTTTGTCAAGATGATTGACGAGGGCCTTGGGCACAGGCAGCGATGGGTGGGAGGATGGCCGGCTCAGCCGTACTGTAGTATGTGCGGCTAGTAGGGCACCGCACGGGTGAGCACGAGGGCGCGGGCGGGTTTGGGAGAGATATGGCGGTGAGGGAACAGGTGCTGGCTGTACGGATGGCATCAGCGGCGTGGCGTGATGAGGATGCTTTTCGTCGACTACTCATGCAGGGCAGTCGAGGCCAAGAGCTGAAGAGAGCAAGAGAGAGAGAGAGAGAGAGAGAGAGAGAGAAAGGGAGGCGGCAGGCTCCGGGACAGCGGGTAAAGAGAGGCAGGCGATGTTGTGCAGCGCATGTCAGGACCTAGTTTAATTGTGGACGAGGGGGTCGTGGTAGGGATAATGTGGTGGCAGTAGCGCAGCGGGCCAGCAAAGCGGCGTCGTTGTCGGTGGCTTGCGGCGTCGGCAGAAGTGGGAGGGGCCTGAGGCAAACGTTCCGGACGGGAGGGCCACAAGCTTTTTCCGGGACGGCGATATGCGAGATGGAGATTGGACGGGCCAAAGACGCGATCGGGGCAGGTGAAGATCCTCTGGAGCGGGCGTGTGTTGTGTGTTGTATCTGTCTGTGTGAGTGTTGTCTTGTGTTGTATATGTGTTGTGTGTTGGATATGTCTGTGTGTTGGATATCGAGTGTGGTGGTCGAGGGGGATGCAGGGCGCGAGTCTCGGCCCTTGGAGCAGCGGCACACTGGCAATATCGACGGCGCTGGTGCATGTGGCGGGCGCGCAGCAGCTGTGGTCGCGGACATGGCACCACGGTGTTGTTCTGCTGTCGTCCCTCTCCCCATGTCGGCGCGGTGAGACGTCTGCGTGGGGCCCGGAGTTCTCAGGTCGCGGCTGCACACGCCATGGGCCGCGTCGATGGGCGAATGGGCAGCAGCTAGCGAGCGCTACTGACACGCTCCGCCTTCACCACGCCCCATGTCTGTGTACTTGTATATAGCATCCCCAGCGCCCGCGGGTTGCCAGCTCTTCTCCCCGCCCACGCCGTTTCTCGCCCGCCTGCTTGCTTGCGCTCTGCATCGCATCCCATCGCTACTCTACTTTCTACTTACTCCACGGCCGGCCCTGCACGCTCGCTTACGCCATACCTCACTGGGCCGCCCACCACCACCACCACCACTACCACCACCATCCGACAAACAACGTCCAAAAGATATCCAGAAAGAAAGAAAAAAAACATCAAACAAGCAACCCCAGCCACGATGCAATACTCGCCCGCCCTCTCGGCCCACAGCGACATGACCGACGAGGAGCTGGACAAGTACTTTGCCAGCTGCGTGCCTCTGTCCAACCTGCCCACGCCTCCCCCCGCCAAGGAACCCACGCCGACGTCACACACATGCACATGCGCCCCCTCGCCCACACAACTAGGTCAGTCATTCCAGTCCTGTTCCGTCGTCTTCTTCTTCTTCTTCACCACCATCACCATCATCTTCTCCCCTCGCTCGCCGCCGCTCTCGCCCGCGCCCTCATATTGGGTCATTTCACTTGCGCAAACATGCCGTTCCCCTGGCCGAGTCGGTCCGCCCAACCAAGCCATCCCCTGCCTTGGCTCACGTCGCCTCATTTCAAACCCACTCCGCCATGTCCACGCCGCTGTGTATGCTTGCTCCACCACCCCCAGCAAGCGTCCCTGTCGATCATGTCCTCGCTGCTGCTCCTACCACCGCCCCCTGGCCAAGACCTGATTGACTCGTCATGATGCTAACCTTCTATCTATAGCATATGCTACCCACCTTGCCAACCTCGTCCCCCTCAACGTCTCGACTCACCGTCCCCACGCATCCGTCATCCAAGGCTTCTTGGTGCGTGCCGCCTTGCCCGACGACGTTGTTGCCTTTGCCGCCTGTCTGCTCGACGCCCTGAGCAGCCGCTTTGCCGCTACCTGGAGGGACGCTCGCCAGGGCATCCATGTCAGCCCCGATGTTGTTGTCTTGGCCGCTCTTTCGCTCGCTCACGGCTTTCTCGTCGACCGCCTGAGGTCGTCGCGCCACTGGAGTCTCAAGGAGAGCGCCGCCGCCTTTACCGTATCCCAGATTGAGGCGGCCAAGCGCGCCATGCTCCACGACATGGACTACGGCCTATCGCGCATCTCGCACGACATGGTCCAGCGCCGCCTGAGAAACATGCAGCCCGCCAATGCCTCTCCAGCCCTCGCCGCGCCCCCAGCCCCCTCGGCCATCAAGCCCTCGCGTCGGCGCAACCTGTCCATTGCTCTGCACGGCACAGCCGTCTGGCATCACGGCGTACACACACCCGAGCCCAGCCCCTGACGTGAAAATGGCGCAATGTAGACGCGAGACGAATCTTGTTTATCTCCTCATCATCATGCTCATGTTGTGTTTTACTACTGCCTTGATTCACGATACCCCCCATCCTTGGCGCGCTTCACGCATTTTTCCTCTTGGCAGCCCTCTGCCTCTCTATTTTTTTCCTCCCCGGCGTTTTCCGGCGTATATTGCCTACGGGGCCTGGGCGCTCCTGGCCCTATTCATTTGATATTGCCTTTGTTTCGCAAAAACGGCCCACGGACGCCTTGGTAGCATGGCCGACTTTAGTGCTTTGTGTCAGTAATACCCGCGGCAGACGTCGATGCATGGTTTCAACACGTCGTAGTAGGTGTAGTACACGAACTAGTTGTAGTAGTAGTAGTGGTAGTCTTGGTATTAGTATCCATATTAATGTAATTCTTCACTACTCGCACACACATACACACCCGCCTCTGCTTGACCATGGCGTCATGATGCCAAGTGTTTCGACAGCCTACTCCGGCACTGCACCTGATCCTCCAAATTGTGTGTTTCTTTGTTTGTGTTTGTGTGTTTCGCACCCACGCTTGTTCGCGTAATAGTGTCTGAGCATGCGACCACCACAAAAATAGAAGCCCGGAAAGCGAAAAAAAAGAGAAAAAACATACGACAGCAACAATTCGCCAGTGGTCATCCACCCAAATGACTACCAAGTCGCCAGTCTCATGCTCAAGTACCGCCGAGCAAATCTAACATCAAGCGAACCACGGTACCTTGCTCACTTTTCTGCCAACGCCTCGCTGCCCTTTCTTATGCTTGTCTACCTGCTTACTATGGAATGCTATTCTGGTATTACATATCACAACGCCAATTCTCGCTGTGTCTTATTGGCAGGCAACTATAAGAAAAAAAAACTCCCCCATCAATTCCCAACCCAATTGTTTGTACCACATTCGGTAATGCACGATACTATTCAGAATAGTGATGGCTCTTCAACTACGAACCCTCAGAATCGCGTGCCATCTTCCGGGCACCGCAACAACAGCATAATCTGGCATACGATCAACATGGTACGGCTCCAACATGACAGACTTGGAGATATCAGTCTCGTGTAGGGTCACAACGGTCGCTCCATGCACGTTGGTCCGAGTGATTGTGTCAGAATTTAGTCAATGTTCTGGTCACTAGGGATCATCGTTTATTGTTGTTCTTTTCTCTCTCTCCTGTGCTTCCGGGGGTTCCGTGATCGCCATGGTAATCGGTCCTGCTACTTGTCGCTCTTTCCTTGTATTTGACAAACACCTGCCAACCGTGCCGGCTAGGCCCAGGAAAGGCCGCATGACTCCGACGTCACCTTCCTAGCTGTTGACGTTTCCTGGGCATTGCGTTCCAAGCGTAAGCTTCCAACTACAGACAGGGTTAGGATGCAGAATCTTGGAGTAGTTGGTGGTAAAATGGTGATATCAAAAGCGGCTTGACGAGGTGGCGTTCAGTAACTTGCTTCACAACCATGTTCACGAAAGACTTCAGTTCGTCCTAATCATATTAGAAATGCCCATGTCGATAAGAGAAAATCAATTTTCTTACCTTTAGTAGGCTCTCTGCTTCTCCAAGGCTTTTTTTACGCGAGGACTTGTCCATAATGTTTCTTAACAGAGTCCGCCATAGCTCTCGTCATCTCGGTAGGGTCAAGTGTTTATCAATGCGCAGTGCCCATAGGTATCTAGTAACCAGCTTTCTGCGCCCCTACCTCGCCCGAACGTTCTGTAAAAGGCCGCATATACGAGGGGCCGTGGATAAAATATACGTCGAACATAGCGAAACCTTCTGATTTCTCCCGTTGCCGAACCCCCGGACCTCGTTCTATTCAAGGACAGTTCACACCAAGCGGTGAGCAAGTCCAGATGAGTGGTTGTTTTACGCAGTCTCACTAGCCAGCAGGTACCTAGCAAACCCTGGGCCGCACCATATGATACTTGGTCGTCGAATCCTAAGGTACTTGATGGGCATAATGCTTCTCAGACTCCCCATGCAAGGGCAACCTCCAGATATGGAGTGGCTTCACAGATGCGGTTTGGGCTGGCTCTCGTAATACAAGATGATCAACAGTTGGACGTTTTCTCAGCATGGATTATCAAAGACAGACTCCTGGAATCATCTTGAGAATACACATCAAGGGGGCAAATTTAAACAGTATTCCATAACATGATGAATAGCTAACGGCTCAACGACAGTGTCTGCGATTCTTTCTTGACTTGGCTTCTCTGTGCAGCAAGGCTGCCGAGCCTCAGGGCCAAGACACTCATATCCCCGTAGACCGTGATAGACCCTAGTATACAGATAAGCAAGTAAAATAGGCCTTGTATAAGTGATGCTGCTTACCCATGTGACGAGTTTAGAATGGGCAAGCTGAACTAACAGCAGCGGGCTTATCATCCGTTCGCAGGACCGCCAAAGGCAGCCCGAAGTATTTCACGAATATACTATGGTATGCATTGACGGTGCAATCCGTCGTCGACACATCCACCTGCATATCGAAGCTCTCCAGATCAACACCAAACACGGTCCACCCAGTTCCCACATGCCATTTAATCACTCCATCGACGTTGGAGCAAGTGTTTATAATGTTCGCTCCCGGTTTCGCAAGCAGCGATTTCATCGTCGCCTTGCACGTCTTGGTTTGCGTGTCCCAGCACACCAGGAACGGCTCTCTCTCGTCCGGATACGGGTGCTGAGGCGTGTAATACGATACTTGTGTGACGCAGGGGATGGCGAGACATGTGCCGATAAGTGATAGTGCGGTAAGAGATGCAAAGGCCTTCATCTTGACCTGTTATCTGTGTAGCTGTTAGCTTGACACTGTTTTAGAGGATCCAAAACTGCAAAGACTTGCCGATAGGAGATTTTGGACAGCAGAATTGAGGCAGAGAGTGCAAATATGCAAGATTTGGACGGTAGCAAGTGTTCGAATCAAAAAGGTGAGTTTAATGCAGTAGCAGATTCTGCTTCTCCATGAAGACACAGAGTCTGCGTATATATATATATATATATATATATATATTAGTTCTTAGCGCAACCCCATGCTACCTTCAACTTCATAACCGAGGCTACCACTGAACCTCTATTCCTTGGGGTCTATAATTTTGGTATAGCATGCGAGAGCCAGTCCTCTCTTCACCCGGCCGGTCCGTTTTACCAAGTCCCCAAAATAGGTTGAAATAAGCGTGAGATAAATTAGGCCCAAAGCCGGCGATGCTACAGGTATCGCAATACACGTAAGCGGTTAGATATGATGTTACATGGGACTAGGTAGTTTGGAGAGATTATTAGTGACGAGGTTGGATATTACCATGTATATCACTACAGTAGTAAAGCCGGCGATACCGTACTTGCTGTAGGTTGCCGCGTGCCAGTCAATGCACGCGATCACGATTTCGTCCCAACTTTGCACTTCCCCGCAACTCAACGCCACAATGAAGCATGGAAGAAGCCCCTTGCCGAGGTAGATGCCCTTGAATCTGACGAATATATTTGCTACGCACAAGTAGCTAGGAAGCATGGTCTTGCTCGCTCAACCTTGGCGCGTAAGCACCGAGGTGTCAGCGGGTCGCGTGCGGAGGCAGGCTTAGCACGTCGCAACCTTGAACCAGAACAGGAGATGGAGCTTGTGAAGTACACAGAGGGGCTAGCAGAGCATAAGCTACCTGCTACAAGAGCGGTGGTGCAGAATTATGCGTCTGGAGTTGCTGGACACCCTGGCTCCGAGAGCTGGGTCACTTGCTTCCTCCACAGACACCAAGATGAGCTTGCATCCCAGTGGAACACTTCTATGGATCGACAACGCTACGCTGCTGACTCTGGTGATACATACAAGGTGTACTTTGAATAGCTAGGCAGCAAGATTGACTTGTACCAAGTAGAGCCTGAGCATACATACAATATGGATGAGAAAGGCTTCATGATTGGAGTTGGCGGCAGACAGAAGTGGATTTCCAGCAAGAGGCTGTTTAGAAGAAGCAGTATCAGCAGATGCTCCAAGATGGCAATGGCGAGTGGCATGGTACAGCGTTGCCGCCAGCTCTCATCTATGCGGCTGACTCTAACAGCATACAAGACACCTGGGTGGAGGATGTGAAGGCGGGAGAACATATAGTCTTCTTCGGAGTATCAGGCAGTGGCTGGTCTTGCTTGGCTTCAGCAGGTGTTTGAGCATTTCACAGTAGCCAAAGCTCGGAGAAAGTGCCGCCTATTGCTCGTGCATGGCCATGGGAGCCACCCAACAGAAGAGTTTCTAGAGTATTGCCCCATGCATAAGATACTGTTGGGTATCTATCCGCCTCATAGCACGCACACGCTGCAGCCGCTCCATGTAGTAATGCCCAAGCCTCTCAGCACAGCATACTCAAAGAAGCTAGGAAGAAGCAGAAACGCAGTGCTAGGGATCATGTGGACGAACCGTCGCGGCCGCGAAATCCTCGGGCCAAGAAAGGTATTGGTCGGGAAATTAGTTGCCTAGGTCTATAGAGTACTCCACCAAATTATCCCGTGATCATAGCTCTTGTATGTGGCTCTACAGCCTCAGTTTTATGGAGCCCGTTTTGGTGATGCGCGTGCATTGACTGACGGCGTGCATCGAGTGCACGGACACGGTAGGTACTGTAGGTGTAAGTTCGGGGTTACATGCCAATGGCTAAGCGCATCAGAAGTCGTGATTGCTATCTTGGCACCACTTTCATGGTCTCGCTGTAGTGATGAAAAGTCATGTTGGTTGCTGCGAAGCATACACATGTGTAGAGGAATAGGACTGCGGGGCTATGCACGCTAATCCTCTTGCAGCAAGCGTCTGCGCCACACATCGTCAAGCCACAACTGCCTGGAACAGCAAATGTCCATGAAAGACATGATGGCATTTGAGCCGGCCCGAATCCTCGTTTTGCTGGAAAACTGCATCTATTGCTATAGGCAGGAAGAAAAACTCATACGCAGGCCATCATCCCCGTCAACTCCCGTCACGAGAGGCAGCCCGGCAGAGAGAAGGCATATATATGTGTGTGTGTGTGTGGAGGGGTAGATGACATGATGCGCATCTCTACGTCAGCTACACTCTATTCCTCACGTCTAGCCAGGGACTCGTCAACGCTACGACGCGCTCCAGGCGGGCCAAGGCATCTCGTATGCACGAGTGTATTGGATACAGCCTCTCACCTCTGTCACGTCGTGGCGGCGTGGTCCGCAATGGGCCTCGTGGGGAATGCTACCCCACTTTGTACCGGTGGGCGAAGCGGGTGCATACAAGATGCATGTAAGAGCTCCCAACAGCTTGCATGCACATGTGCTGCTTTCCCCGCGCTCCAACGGGCTGCTCTCAGGATATATCACCAAGTGCCTTCCTCGCCCGCCATGTCTGCCCCTTCTCTTCCTTTTCTCTTGCTCGAAGCGCCGTCTTGAGCCACCTCTGCTGTGCGTGCGTGTTCGCCCAAGTATAGCCTGCAGCTCCTTCGACCATCGGCCCTCGACCCTCTCACGCCACCGCGTGTTACGTCTCACCTCTTTGCCTTTGCCCTGCCCTGCCTGCCGTCCCGACCCCGCTCCCTCCCCTCTTGCAGCATCACGCCCTGAGCGGACTGCCATTGTCTGCCATTGACGCCTTGTCTGCATTGACTGCATTGACTGCATTGACTCGCCCAGCATGGCTGCAAACCCCAATCCCCGCGAACGCAGACCTTCGACGAGCGCCCCGCTTGCCGATCTCAAAGGCCCCATCGGCCCCGCCTTTAGCCGCCCAAAGCACAAGAGAACCGTCACGGGCTTTGGTCCCACCGAGATCAAGACGGTCGAAGCGAGTATCCCAGAGCCCCAGCGCGAGGCATGGAGGAAGTTTGTGAGTCAATTGTCTTGTGGCATTGCCCGTGGTCAAGCATGCCCGCTAACCAGCGACCAGACGCCCAAGCCCTTCTCTACCCCCGAAGACTTCAGCAAAGATGCCGTTCGCCATATCGAAACTACCCTGGCACGCTCCCTCTTCAACTGCGACGAGTCGGCTGCATACGCCGGAACGGCCCTGGCCTTTCGCGACCGCCTCGTCCTAGACTGGAATAAGACACAGCAGAGCCAGACCTTTGCTGACCAGAAACGCGTATACTGTACGGAAGCTTGGGATGCACATGTTACGAAACCATTGGCTGACACAGCTAGACCTCTCTCTGGAATTCCTCATGGGGCGTGCGCTGGACAATGCTATGCTCAACGTTGAACAAAAAGACGTTGCTACCAGTACGCTCAACCCTCTCAACTAGACCCACAACTGCTGACACACACACACACAGAGGGCCTCGGCGACCTGGGCTTCCGCATGGAGGACATCATCTCCCAGGAGCACGATGCTGCCCTTGGAAACGGTGGTCTCGGTCGCCTAGCCGCATGCTTCCTCGACTCAATGGCCTCGCTCAACTACCCGGCCTGGGGTTACGGCCTGCGCTACCGCTACGGTATCTTTAAGCAGGAGATTGTCGACGGATACCAGGTCGAAGTTCCCGACTACTGGCTGGACTTCAACCCATGGGAGTTCCAGCGCCATGACATTGTAGTTGACATTCAGTTCTACGGCCAGGTCAACCGCTGGCAGGATGACGAGGGCAAGCAGCAGAGCTCTTGGGAGGGTGGAGAGATTGTCCAGGCTGTTGCCTTTGACGTACCCGTTCCTGGATACAAGACGGGCACTTGCAACAACCTCCGTCTCTGGGCCAGCAAGGCCGCTAGTGGCGAGTTTGACTTTCAGAAATTCAACTCTGGAGACTACGAGAGCTCCGTGGCCGATCAGCAGCGTGCTGAGACCATCTCGGCGGTTCTCTACCCTAACGACAAGTGAGTGTCTTTGCATGTCATCAAGTACGTAACTGACTTGGATAGCCTCGACCGTGGTAAGGAGCTTCGCTTGAAGCAGCAGTACTTCTGGTGCGCCGCCTCGCTCTACGACATTGTCCGACGTTTCAAGAAGAGCAAGCGCGCGTGGAAGGAATTCCCCAACCAAGTCGCCATCCAGCTCAACGACACCCACCCGACGCTTGCCATTCCCGAGCTGCAGCGGATATTGTATGATATTGAAGGACTCGACTGGGACGAGGCGTGGAACAGTAAGCGTCAAGATTAGTGTCAATGTAACGAGCTAACGCGGTGCAGTTGTCCAAAAGACATTCGGCTACACCAACCACACCGTCCTCCCAGAGGCGCTCGAGAAGTGGTCTGTTCCGCTTATGCAGCATCTCCTTCCACGCCACCTTCAGGTGAGTTTCTGTCTTACTGTGCCCTGTAGCTGCTGACATCAGTTTTGATCATCTATGAAATCAACCTCCACTTCCTCCAGTTCGTCGAGAGGACTTACCCCAAGGACCGCGAAATGCTTGCGCGCGTGTCAATCATTGAGGAGTCGCAGCCAAAGATGGTCCGCATGGCCTACCTGGCTTTGATTGGCTCACACAAGGTCAACGGCGTAGCTGAGCTGCACTCTGACTTGATCAAAACAACCATCTTCAAGGACTTTGTCAAGATCTACGGACCTGACAAGTTCACCAATGTCACCAACGGCATTACCCCGCGAAGATGGCTGCACCAGGCCAACCCCAAGCTCTCCGCACTGATTGCCTCGAAACTCGGCGGATACGAGTTCCTCAAGGATCTTACGCTGCTCCATAAGCTTGAGGCATTTGTCGAAGACAAAGAGTTCCGCAAAGAGTTCCGTGATATCAAATACGAGAACAAGGTGCGACTCGCGCAGCACATCCTAGAGCACAATGGTGTCAAGGTCAACCCGGCAGCCCTGTTCGATGTCCAAGTCAAGCGTATCCACGAGTACAAGCGTCAGCAGCTGAACATTTTCGGTGTTATTCACCGCTACCTGCAGATCAAGGCCATGACTCCTGAAGATCGCCAGAAGCTGACGCCCCGCGTGTCGATCTTTGGCGGAAAAGCTGCTCCAGGTTACTGGATGGCCAAAATGGTCATCCACCTTATCAACAAGGTTGGTGATATTGTCAATAACGACAAGGACGTTGGGGATGCTCTCAAGGTGATCTATCTCGCCGACTACAACGTCAGCAAGGCGGAGATCATCTGCCCTGCCAGTGACATTAGCGAGCACATTTCAACTGCCGGTACCGAGGCGTCTGGTACGAGCAACATGAAGTTCTGCCTCAACGGTGGTCTGATTATTGGAACGTGCGATGGTGCCAATGTAGGTTTTCGATACGAAACGTCTGACAAAGATTGTGCTGACCTTGCCTAGATTGAGATTACGCGTGAAATTGGCGACCAGAACATTTTCCTTTTCGGAAACTTGGCCGAGGATGTCGAGGACCTCCGTCACGCACATATGTACTCGCAGTACCAGCTCGATCCATCGCTAGCCAACGTTTTTGATGCTATTCGCAACAACATGTTTGGCGATGCCGACCAGTTTTCGGCCCTGATCAACGGCATCGTTGACCATGGTGACTACTACCTGGTATCGGACGACTTTGCGTCGTACGTCAAGACACAGGAGCTCATTGACGAGAGCTTCAAGAATACCGAGGAGTGGACCACCAAGACCATCACCACAGTCGCACGCATGGGATTCTTCTCGAGTGACAGGTGTATTGATGAGTATGCCGAGGCTATCTGGAATGTAGAGCCCCTTCAGGTCAAGAGCGACCCGGCCTAGTAGAGGGCGACTAGGGCGAAGTGCAGGGACGGTTGCTTGGTAGATGTGGAAGACTACTTGCCTAGATGCTAGAGCTGCTTCTCTTTGGTAGTCGTTGGTATATTCTACGAGCGGAATAATCAAGTGGCTTCATGCCCGGAAGAGATGCATTCCGCGGTGACACGAGACTTGTCATGCTGCTTGATGACACATGTTGCGAATTGCACGTGCAGTGTCCAGCAGCCCCCTCCCACCTGCACCTAGCCACAGCAAAGCAACAAAGACCCCGCTGCAAATGCCATGTCGACTGTGAATGCGCACATCACCAAGAAGCGAGAACAGAACTGGAACAGCTGGACCCTGGAAACGGGCGCCATCCCTGCCCCGCTCCGAATCAAGTAAGACGCCCACCCCAGCTTGGACGCACGGGTCGCGTACGTAACGACGCGGCGGCGCGACGTCAACCACGCAATCTGGCCGCTGCTGCTATCAGCACAACGTTCCAGCTCCAGCTGCGCCCAACAGACATACGTGTATACGACCGAGTTTTGCGCAAGACTGCGGCATCAAGGAAGAGTGAAATTGTGTGTGAGAGAGTGAGAAAGAGAGGGAGCAAGACCGAGCAGACATGGCGAACAGAGGGTACGATGTTGTTGTTGATGTGGACCAGGAGGTACGTTTTGCCTGTCGGATTACTGGGAAAAGATGAGCGATTATGGGGTGTGTGAGAAGAGGCGTGGAATTGGCAGAGCATGATTGAGGAAGCTTACACATACTTCTACAGGGCGACCTGGGACATACGGATCTACAAGAGGACCTTGAATTCCACAGTTCTAGTAAGGGAAATTCCTTGCGCCTTGCGCTGTACAGAACTAGAAGACTGACAATGAGCTCCCCACACAGACTTTGACACGCAAGCATCATCCGGCCGCGGCGGCGCATCCAAGATCCAGCCCGACTCGACCTCGACCTCGTTCCTGCCGGGCCCTGCCACAGCCGGCGACAGCAGCGGTGGCGGCGGCGCTCGAAAACATTATCTCTGGTCCCTCAACTTTTACGCACAAGCCTTTGATGTCGACACGGCAGAGGTGCTGCGCAGGTGCACTGCAACCATTTATCCGCGCGCCAATTTCCTCGATGTCCTCGAGGGAAACCCGGATCTGTATGGCCCCGTGTGGATCGCCACAACCGTCATTGTCATCCTCTTCCTCACCGGCACGATAAATCAGTATCTGGCGCAAAAGGGCCAGGAGCATTTCGCATATGATTTCAAGCTTCTGAGTGGCGCCGCGGGTCTCGTATATGGGTATACGGCATTTGTGCCCGTGGGCCTCTGGGGCGTGCTCAAGTGGTATGGCAGTGAGAGCGCGAATCTGCTCGAGTGCTGCTGCTTGTATGGCTATGCGAATTTGATCTGGATTGCCGTGTCGCTTGTTGCGTGGAGTCCGTGGAGTAGTAAGTTCTTTTTTGCTGTCCCCTACGCAGTTATAGCGAGATATGAAATGCTTGAGTATGTACTAATGACTTCGCTTTTGCTCAGTCGTCAACTTCACAGTCGTGGCACTTGGTCTTGCTTTCAGCGCCACGTTCCTGCTACGCAACCTCTTCCCCGTGCTCAACTCGACCGAAGCAAAAACGTCAAAGATCCTGCTGGTTGTTGTCTTTGTCCTGCATGCGGGCTTTGCAATTGCAATCAAGGTCTTGTTTTTTGCGGCTACGAGTCCCGTGGGGCCGAACAAGGGCGCCGACAAGGGCGCCGACAAGGGCGAGGGTGAGAATAAGGGCAGTATGCTGAGGTTGCTTATGGGATGAGATTGGAGTCTCTTTTTTTCTCCTTTCCACACGGCTGTGTTTTGAAAAAAGAAAAATGGGCTTGTAGACACGCGTGCTTTCTTAGAAGATGGAAGAGAAGGAGAAGATGAAGATGAAGAAGAAGAAGAATAAGGGCGTTTTGTATGAATTATTCGTGGAAAAATATAGCTTCTCCCATTTTTTATTTCCACCGCTTTTTTTTTCTGTCTTGTTTCGGTCTTGCGTGCTCCATCTGTTGTGTTACCTTACCGGACTTGCGCATCTACATACGTATACTTTAGAATCCAATCACATCACATCAACATGCTACATTTGTACCCAAAGTGAGGTGAGTCACCGTCTTCTTTTTTTTTTTTTTNTTTTTTTTCGNGGAAGCTACATACATACTTACATACATACATGATGCAAGTCGATGTCTATTTTTTTTTCNGAACAACTACATACATGATGCCTAAGTTCCCTTTTTTTTAGGC